ATAAAGTAAATGGTGTGTCCATAGTAACATGACGGTGGCGTGTAGTACACATATAAAGTAAATGGTGTGTCCATAGTAACATGACGGTGGCGTGTAGTACACATATAAAGTAAATGGTGTGTCCATAGTAACATGACGGTGGCGTGTAGTACACATATAAAATAAATAGTGTGTCCATAGTAACATGACGGTGGCGTGTAGTACACATATAAAGTAAATGGTGTGTCCATAGTAACATGACGGTGGCGTGTAGTACACATAAAGTAAATGGTGTGTCCATAGTAACATGACGGTGGCGTGTAGTACACATAAAGTAAATGGTGTGTCCATAGTAACATGACGGTGGCGTGTAGTACACATATAAAGTATGTCCATGTTATACTGTTGATGCAAAGTCTCATAGAGCAGAATCCTATTCTAGAAATAGAAGGTAAGGACAAGAACAAACCCTAACCCTGTAATGTCTGGGTACTTGGGAATTTCGAGGTCACGCAAGGGGTGCCCTGAGTGTTAGTGCGTGTTAGGGAAGTACTGCGAGTCTGAAAACGGGACTTCTATACATTTACCGAGGACAGGGATTCATCCAACTAGAGCTGCAGCTAACGATTATTTTAAAAATCGATTATGTCGATTAGTTGTTGCAGCCCTACATCCAACCCTCTGCTGCCCATTTGATGGTTGGATGATGAGAAGCATGTTTGTGGCCCCGCCATTCATTATTTGTTGGCCTTGGATTTTCATAGTTTAAACATGATTCTAACCTGTATTTCTTCCACATTAAGGATGATGTCCACAGAAAGTGCAAACAGCTTCACCCTAATTGGAGAAGCATCTGATGGAGGAACAATGGAGAACCTGAGCAGAAGACTCAAGGTAAATAGGAGGCTCCACCTGCCAGAGTTATTGTGGCTTTTTCACCCACAGGACAATGCGACAACCAGGTGAGTACATCGGTACAAACCCACTGCACATCACTTTCCAGGTATACAAGGAAGAGAACAATCTTTAACACGTGTGCAGAGAATATACTATACATAGGGACAGTTCCTGCACATACACCAGCAGTCCCACATCTTGTAATATTTATCATGTACCCTTCTACTGAACTGGAAGTTTCTCAAAGGATATTAACGATCCAGCTCCGCCATCCAGGCCTCCAGCGATTGGTGGACATGAGAGATCCATTTCAAGTATCTAATGGGCGGCAAATGGTTTTAATGTAGTGACAACAGTGCAGTGATCGAGCTCAGAAGACTCGAATGTACCCCAAATATATGTAAGAGATTTATTAGGGACCGACACTCCAAATATTGAATGTATCTTATTCTAAAGTGACTTATCAGGAGCAGCGCCACTGTAAATGATTTGACGAGCCTGGTTGTAGGCCACACTTTGGGCATTTGGAGTCTGCTCAAAGACCAATATGATATGAAACTTCAGGGGTGCGATATATATTATATGTACAAGGAACATCTGGGCGAGAGGTTTCAAGAGTGAGAAGTGGATCTCTTTAATACTAAAGGCCTGAGAGTGCCTACTCTCCCAACCCAGCAGCTGTTGGAGCTGTGACCCCAGGAAATATTTCCAAGGATTAGGGGTGGATGAGCTTCCTTCATCTTTGGGGTATTGCAAAGTTTCCAGTTTCACTTGTGGGGGCTTTTATTTCCCATATACGTTCTCTACAAATCGTGCTAATGCTCTAAAAGTGTTGGGGGAGTTATGTAGCATATATAATAATTGGAGCATCCAGATCATCTTCAGAGTCACTCTCCCACCACAGATAGGGGAGCTTACACCAAACATCACATTGGGATTTCAATCTTTGTATTATAGGAAACAAATTGCAGTCTAAATATGTCTTGCCATAATTTGAACCCCCAAATATGTAGAAGACAGGGTCATGGGTGTCCAAGTATCATTAACCCTCAGGCTGGGCCGTGTAGTCCGATCCAATAGAAGAGATACTGGAGATCAAATTGCTGGTTCCATTGCAGTTTGTTGTTCTGCATAGCCCCAGATCGGTCAGGGTGCCTGTGCGGACTCCTGTCCCCTGCCAAAAGTGCCTATAATGGGCACATGAGCATCAGAACTGGAGCACGGAGCAATGTAAAAAGGTGGCCCTGGTCTAATGAATCATGTTTCTTTTACATTGTGTGGCTGGCGGGGGGGTCACTTACCTGGGAAGAGATGACACCAGGATGTACTATGGGAAGAAGACAAGCTGGCAGAGGCAGTGTGATGGACAATGTTCTGCTGGGAGACCTCGGGTCCGGCCATTCATGTCCATGTTACATTGACACGTACCACTGACCTAAACATTGTTCTTGACCAAGTCCCCCCATTCATGGACATGGTATTCCCTGATGGCAGTGGCCTCTGATTGGATGCCATCACTGTTCGGTTGATCATTTTTCACCTGGCTCAGTCAATTATTGAACTGAATTGTTGGCCCAGGTGGTGCTGACGGGTCCACCCATGGCTCACATTTGGCCCAGTATAGCAGGAATTCAAGGTGCCTATGGCCAGCTTAAGGCCGGGTTCACAGCTAGGCGTTTTTGAGCAGTTGGAAAAGGGCTTTTTAAGTGCCAACACAATAAATCCCATGATTTTCAATGGCCCTTGTTCACACCTGAGCAGGAAAACACCAAAAAGATATATGAGCTTCTTTGGACAGTTAAAGGAGAACTATGGGGTTAGGGCTTTCCCCCATAGTTCTCCTAAAGATAACGGGAGGACACAAACTAGCGTCCTCCCGTCACCCTAGGCTCAGTATATAGGGAGCTACAGCTCGCGGTATACTGAGACGCCGCAGCCGGGACAATTCTGTCTGGATCCGCCCAGCTGTGTGAGTGACAGCTGGCTCCTCCTATCTAGAGGCAGAGCCAGCTGTACCCGCCCCCTCCCCCCTCCGTTCTCCCAGTCAGAGCGGGGAGGGGGGGATCCAGCCCCTCCCCTGTCACAGCTCTCTGCCGGCATAGGATTGAGAAGTGAGCGAACGCCGGTATGTATTCTCTCACTTCCCGATCTACTGAGCCGACCTGTGACAGTCTCATTGTCACATGTCGCCCCGAACTATGAGGACCAGAGGAAAGCCCCCCCCCCCTCATAGTTCTCCTTTTTAAAAGCGCATTTTTGCCCCATAGACTTCAATGGAAATGGCCAAAAACACGCCGCAGAAGCATGTTGCACAGTTTCGTGAGCGTTTTTGTGTGTTTTAAACGTCAGCTCTTCCATTGCCCGCACGTGCATCTTTATGTATGCGCATCAAAATGTGCACAACGCGCATAAACGCGCCTTTACAGTGCTGCCTATGTGTGAACCCGGCCTTAGGGTTAGGCATACAACTCTATGCATGAAGCCTTGCGCAGCGTCTCCCCTCCCCCTCCTCCTTTCATTATACAGGATGTAGTGTTTGTTGGAAGTTATCACCTTTAAGATTATTGTGGGATTTGCTTTTCATATTTTGTTCTACATCGAGTAACAATGGAAGAGAAGTCAGAAGACTCTCTGCAGTGCGTAGTCGGTCCCCACAGTCTTTCAGCCAGGAGGTTTTGCACATTCCCTGACCAGGGTCACAAAGTCATTTTATATTGGAATGTTCTGGATGGACTCGAGTGTCGCCATCTTTGTCTTTCAGGTGACCGGAGATCTGTTTGATATTATGTCGGGACAGACGGATGTCGATCACCCGCTGTGCGAGGATTGCACCGACACTCTTCTGGATCAGCTCGATACGCAGCTGAACATAACGGAAAACGAATGTCAGAACTACAAGTAAGATCTGCCGCTTTGTCTCCGGGAGGTGATGAGGGTGGAAGCTGACGTCTGCCCCCCTGTACATTCCGGGTCACATGTATTCTTTAATGCCCCCGTCTGGCAGGATATACTCCCCTTTACACGCATGATGCCGATTGGCCCAGCATTGTCACATGGGTGGTGGGGATAAAATGCTGGCCTTTCTTTCTTTGCTCCCAGCAGCTGATTGGGGACCGGGGGAGGGGACATTAAAGAGAACCTGTTGTTATGTATGGATAAAGCACAGGTTCTCTACACGTGTTGCATAACTTAATAGGACCCCTTTTTATGTGTGGACATATCAGGAGGGAGAAGCACACACGGCACATGATATATAACGTGTCAGGAGGGAGAAGCACACACGGCACATGATATATAACGTGTCAGGAGGGAGAAGCACACACGGCACATGATCTATAACGTATCGGGAAGGAGAAGCACACACGGCACATGATATATGACGTATGTGGAAGGTAAAGCACACACGGCACATGATATATGACGTATGTGGAAGGTGAAGCACACACGGCACATGATATATAACGTATCCGGAAGGTGAAGCACACACGGCACATGATATATAGCGTGTCAGGAAGGAGAATCACACACGGCACATGATATATAACGTGTCAGGAAGGAGAAGCACACACGGCACATGATATATAACGTATCCGGAAGGAGAAGCACACACGGCACATGATATATAACGTATCCGGAAGGAGAAGCACACACGGCACATGATATATAACGTATCCGGAAGGAGAAGCACACACGGCACATGATATATAACGTATCCGGAAGGAGAAGCACACACGGCACATGATATATAACGTATCCGGAAGGAGAAGCACACACGGCACATGATATATAACGTATCCGGAAGGAGAAGCACACACGGCACATGATATATAACGTATCCGGAAGGAGAAGCACACACGGCACATGATATATAACGTATCCGGAAGGAGAAGCACACACGGCACATGATATATAACGTATCCGGAAGGAGAAGCACACACGGCACATGATATATAACGTATCCGGAAGGAGAAGCACACACGGCACATGATATATAACGTATCCGGAAGGAGAAGCACACACGGCACATGATATATAACGTATCCGGAAGGAGAAGCACACACGGCACATGATATATAATGTATGTGGAAGGAGGAGCACACACGGCACGTGATATACAGTGGGGCAAAAAAGTATGTAGTCAGCCAGCAATTGTGTGAGTTCTCCCCCGTGGTGAGATGAGTTCGGCGTGTAATTGGCATCACCGGAAGACCCCAACTATGAGAGACAAATCCGGACAGATCACATCACCGGGAGACCCCAACTATGGGAGACAAATCCGGACAGATCACATCACCGGGAGACCCCAACCATGAGAGACAAATCCGGACAGATCACATCATCGGCGGATCTGGAAGGAATTTATGTGCAAATTCTGGTGGAAAATAAGTATTTGGTCTCCTAGAAACAAGCAGAGTTCCGGCTCTCACAGACCTCCTTCCGGCTCTCGCAGAACTCCTTCTGGCTCTCACAGACCTCCTTCCGGCTCTCGCAGACCTTCTTCCGGCTCTCACCGACCTCCTTCCGGCTCTC